TAATAATAATAATAATAAATTACTTTGTTGATGTCTGGAAACAAAATAATCGGGTTCAACTCAATTCAAGACAATCTGCTCTTTAAAAAAAAGACATAATAACTTTATGATGCCTGAGACAATAACACCTGATGAAAATCATTTATTTATATTTGTGCGTCTGTTTTTGGAGTAAATCTAAAAACAAAAGAGCTAGTCTTACATTTATATAGAGTATATTTCTGCAGGTGTCACTGCAAAAAAAATCTTCTTTCTCTCAGGTTATTTACTCTGAAACATTTGCTTTGTTATTAAAAGGTTAAAAACTCAAATGGGTGATTCGTGAAGTGTTTTTTGTCACAGAACTACTTTTTGATGCCTTGGAACATAAAACATTTCAATTTAAGACAATAAAACAAAAGTATGTAACACTGACAGTTTCTGCAGCTGCCACTGGAGAAACAGATACTCTCCTTACCTTCAGGTTACTCTAATTATTTAGTCTTAAAATATACTTTTTTATTTTTATTTTTATTAAACCGTTTTTTCACACATATTAAATTTGTGTGTCAATTTTCTTGATTCAGGTTGATTGATGATTAACCTACCACTCATTTCTAGACAATTCCTGAAATAAGGGACATTTTTTCCCCTTCTTTTAAAAATAATGCTTGTCACTCTTTTAAAAACCCTTAAAGTCTGAATATCCAGCTAAATGACCAGTAAAAGATTGATGCTTTTTGCAGCAAGGACTGTTAAATGCCTGCAGTGAACTCTTTGGCGTCTGCAGTCCATCACCATGGTGTCGTGCAGCTGAATGGATGTTTGAAACCCTGCAGGAGGACAGACGGCCAAATCATTTTCACAAGTGGCCGGCGAGCTGTGCCCCATGTTAACCCAGAGTTGTGAAGAATGGCCCAGATTCTGTGTCCAGACGTACTGCAGCCTTGACTGGAGGCCTTTTCTTTAAGGGCGGGCAGCAGGGCTGAAGAAAGGGGTCTCGCCATCGATTGATTTTCTTCACTTGCACTTGCCTGTATCCCACGCTTCAGGAGGCCCGGGAGCAGCCATTGATTGAGAGGCCACGCTGGTCATTCTTCCATTCTCCTCAAGACTTCATCAATGAGCTGCTGTCTGTGTCACGGCCTCTCTCAGCTCGGGACTCATTACTTTCTCCTTTTAGTTTCACATTGTGGGAGGAAATTAGTGCGTTATAAATGTGTTGAATATGAAGACGAGCATCAAGGAGCTTTAAAATAGATCCTGATTGAATCTGAACCTTGAAGACTCTCAAAGGCTCCTGGTGGTCTTTGTTTCTGTGCATCATGAGCTGCTGCCTGAAAATGTCAACACAGATACATTATTCCCTCAAATATTTTAATTGATGCGCTTCATTCTTTTCTTTTATTATTGTAATTTGTACTCATAAATTTAGAATAAATTAGTTCCCTTGCATTAGTGTTAAATAAGCACCCTAATGGCCACACAAGAGAGTATTATTTACATGAATGGTTAATCTGTTGATCTTTTTTTATTTAGCAATAAATCTTCTTTATCTAGTCTAATATGTTGGTAAATTGTCAAATATGTCCAAGCCGATCTCTCTTTAAAGGTCTTATTTTGTCTGAATGACAGTCCAAAAATATTCAGTTAGTAATGTAGTTACAATAGAGAAAAACATCAAATCCTCACATTGGAAAAATGTGACTTAAATGATTAATCAATAATCAATTAATTTTCTGTAAATTGACTGGTTATTGGATTGATCGTTATAGCTCTAAAAAAGAGAAGGGAGCAGACGACTTACCTCATCTGTCAGCACAGTTTAATGATTCAAGCAAATTAAGAAATTCAAGATTGAGTAAATTGGAGAAATAGATGATTTGAGGGAGGAATATATTAAAAACTTAACAAACCGACGCCTGCTGAACTCCGCAGTTCCCTTCCACAAATCAAATCACATATAAATTATATTTAGTTCAAAATTTAGTGTTGACCCGGAAAACAGCAATTCTATGACAACTGTCATGAACAAAGCTGCAGAAGGGCTAGTAAATGCACCTCGTGGTGCGATTGTTTGTCAGCTGCTGTTTCCAGGGTCAAGAATGAACTTTAAAACTGAAATCAAATTCTGAAATATTGACATAGTGTTCATGTACACGTGGTTATTGTACATTTCACAAGGGAACACTTTGATATATAATAACAAATGTGAAGCCATTAGTTAAGTAATTGTTTATTTGGTAATGATAATTGAGAAATCAAAAGCCATTTATCATGCTAAAAGGCAAATATAAATGCTGTCTTCAGCCTCTTTCTGCTTTTCTCTGTTTCATATCCGAGTAAACTGAATGAAGGTTTTGAACTGTAGGTCGGACCCAACACATTTGAAGACCTAGATCACCTTGGACTCTCAGTAATTGGGACAGACATTCTTCACAATTGTATAAACTAAACTATTCATCAGTAATGAAAATAATCATTCGTTGCATTCCTTAATGACTTGACACATGTGGTCACTGGATTTCCCCATGTGAAATAAATTGAACACGCGAACACCGGTGCTTTTTGTATGGGAGGAAATAAAACCGTGGATATGGTTTAATTCCTATTTATTTGTTGAGACCGTCCATGTTCGCTCTTTGATCAACTCTCCGCACTGTACTTGGTGATTAAAATGTTCACATAACTCACCAGCGTAATAGTTACAACAATTTGAAAATCCTGAAGTCCTTAAAGCTGATGACATCTTGTTCTTGTGTTGCAGGCACCTGTATGCTTTGGGACAAAGAGTCTGGAAACGCTGGAAAAGAAGATATTTTGTTCTCGTTCAGGTAAGAAGCTGATGAGGCTGAGATCAGATGACATGTATTGATCTGCAATTAATTTGGAAATGTAACCTCTTAAGATCAGAGAGGCACTGCTCACTAGGAAAGAAAGACTAAAGGTTAAAAGTGAAATAAATCTAGAGCAACTGACTGGCATTAATAAACTGTTTATCCAGAAAAAAAAAAAAAATCTGACTCAAGCTTGGTACTTGACAGATCCAGCATCAGTGAAAATGTGAAATAACTCATTAAACAGAAGTCTGTGTGTATTTATGATGCATTAGATCAAATTGTCAGCCTT